AGCATCATACGGTTCCGATTTTTGCCGGTTCTATCGGTTTTTGCCGGTTCTACCGGTTCCGGTTATATCGGTTCCGGTTCCTACCGGTTCCCGGTTCCAAAAATCCACAAAAATAACGTCCCGGTCCCGGCCCGACCGGTTCCATCGGGTTCCGGTTCCGGTACCGGTTCCGGCCGGTTCCCCGGTCCATATGCTCATCCCTACTCTAAACCTACAAAGTATAGTGTACAAGTATATATACGCAAGTTCAACCCATAAGGCCTTTATAGAGAAGCACATTCCACCTTCTCTAAGACCTTCATAGAGAAGCGTCTTCAACCTTCTCAAAGACCTTCACAGATAAACCTTCCATATCGAATAGGGAATAAGCCTTCTAAGTCATCATCCAATGAAGAGCTTTGCTCCCTAACATTCTCTCTCCTCAAAGCTTGGAATATATGACCCGGCTTCACAATTCCAAAATAGCAACAAGCGAACAAGACCTCAAGCGTGACAAAAATGTAGAAGTGAACACCAAATCTTCAAATCTTCAATAGTATTCTAATCCGGGTTCTAGGATGTGAGACATTACAATCCAAAGCAACAAGAACAAGAGGCAACTTTAGGTCCTTGAGTATCCAAAACTCCGAGGAAAATTACCCATCATTAAGCTTAAAAGCACACCCCAAAAATATTCAATAAGTCCAAACCGTTCATAAAAATGAACCATTTCAGAATATCGAATCCGAATCACTTCATAAAAAATATTAACTCCTCAAAGTTACATCGGTCTTCAATCATAAATTATTATTCGCTACGAAAATGAATACCCAAAAAACTTTTGAATACCCATATCAAAATTTTTCCCCCTTTTTATAATCGAAATATGATTATAAAAATTCCAAAAAGGGAATAATAAAGGGCTCATAATGGATTTTTCCATGAAATACTCCCCCACGATAAGCAACAAAAAAATGAGAAGCTTCAAAACCAGAAAACACGAAAAATATGATAATTGTCGTAAACTTGAATTCCCGGATCGCTTTGACTTGAAAAATGAACAATATTGTTCATGTTGCTGGAAAACGTTTTACATAAATGACAATTTTGATACCCCGAAAAAAAATCTCCAAACTTTGTAAAGATTATAGTTTCGGGGGTATAAATTGTCATTAAGTTGAACCATCGAGGACTAAAATTGTAATTTTGGTTGCTTCTTCCCCAACACAATTTAATTGCAAGAACGGATGACAATAGCGAACCAACATAAGTCGACGATAATGAACCACAAGCTACCAAAAAAAATTTGGACCTTCCCAATCAATGTCGTTCCCATTCGTTATCAAACTAGAAACCTTATATGTTTTCCTGTTGTGGTGGATGTAGATGGTGGTCCTTCGGTGGTGGCTGGTGGTCACCGGAAAAACACCCTAAATCAGGAAAAAACAAAATTGAGAAATCAAAAAACCTTACATGCAACTCCTATTGTGGTGGCCGGAAGTAGGTGGTTGTTGGAACTCAGTGTCGTCGTCAGTGGTCCTCTGGTGACTACCTTATCGGGAAACCAAGAAAAAACAGGAAAAACCCAAGCATCTCAAAATCCAACTAGAAAAGAGGGATAATGGAGAAGAAAGAGTGACCTAGAAGTTACATGAGGGTCGACGCTGCAACCGCAGAAAAACGAGAATCGTCGATGATTGAGAAATAAACAGATTTTGGTGCGATAAAATGAGGATCGATTGATCCGTTCTGTATCATAAAACCCTATTGTAACGCCTGGTTCCTGGTATGTATTTAAAATCATAATTTATTCACTTTTGTAGAGAAACTCGACGAGTTGGGAGCCCCAGACTCGTCAATTAGAGATGATTTGGGACGCGGGTTAAGAAACCTACTCAACGAGTTGGGAGGCCTCAACTTGACGAGTAGGCTGGCAGAAATGAAACCCTAATCCCGACGTTTTGCACCCTATTTAAACACCTTAACCCCAAGGTGTTGGCCTCATCTCCAGCCTCCACTGTCCAAAACCCTAATCTTGAACCCTAAGCCATTTTTAGTGCTTGTAAGTTAATCTTGTGCATTCTTGGTGAGTTTGAAGAAGAGGAAGCTTGAAGGAGGAGCAAGAACGTGTGGAAGGAGAGTAGATCTAGAAGTTGGGCTTCATTTCTCGTTCATCTGATGTATAAAGCTTCAACCTTGTCCATGGCATGCTTAGATCTAGTTTCAGGATGCTTTCTTTTATGTTTTGGTCCAAGTATATTGGTTGTTGGGATTTGGACATCCCAAGTGAAGAATACTCCAGATCTAAGGCGTTGAATGGTTTTCATGGCATAAACGTGCCAACTTTATGACCATGGAAGTCCCATGCAACCTTTAGACCATCATGTTGGTCTTTTAAAGCTCTAATGGCCATGCATGAATATAAAGGTTAAGAGTTTACGTGATCATATCGTCCCTAGAGTCCAGATGTATGACCTCATGGTCTATCTTGTAGTTTTAGTTGGCGTTGGATCAAGACCTTGAGCTTTTTGGGTTAGGGTTAGAGCTTATTTCTTCTAGAGTGGGCTTTGATGGGTAAAGTTGGAAAATTTACCCTCCTAGATGTATTTTCGGCCCAGATCTGGAATACGGGACTTAGATTTGAAGAATAATGGCTGAATGGATTAAGAAGGGTTAGCAGACTAAAGAACTTAACGATTTCTCAGAGGAAATCGACGAGTTGAATTGAAGGGTCCCGATTCTGTTAATAAGGAAGAACTCGACGAGTTGGATCGCGAAATCACGATTCTGTGGTTCTCAGAAACTCGACGAGTTGAAGGGGTAACACGACGAGTTGGGTCAACTCGGAGCGTTGACTTTGACTATGACCATAGTTGACCCTAAGGGGGTTATGAGTATGAATTGCTATCTAAGAGGTTGTTCTGTTTAGGGGTTTGAGTAGAGCTGATTCCGGAGCAGAGACCTTTCAACTAGCACCCGACATTGAGGTGAGTTTCCTCCTGGTTTGAACGGGTCGCAGACACCAATGTCGGCCCGTGTACGTTATGTGTGCTGATTAGTAGCTAAGTGTGGGGCAGATACCGTACATTACTTGAGTATGGATATGGAATGGATTGGTAAATTTGGTATCTTAGCTAAGTGTGGGCGAGGCTCGTATCTCCTAGTTAGCCGAGAGTGGGCGGGGCTCATATCTCCTAGATAGTTGAGTGTGGGCGGGGCCCGTATCTCACTAAGCGTGGGCGGGGCCCGTGTTTCATAGGGCGAGGCCCGTTATCCGAGTGTGGGCGAGGCCCGTATCTCCTTGAGTGTGGGCGGAGCCTGTACCTCATAGTTGCATGTTATGTGTATGGTATGTGGTAGTTTGGGGGAAATTCACTAAGCTTTGTGCTTACGGTTTTCAGTTTTGGTTTCAGGTACTTCCAGTAGCAAAGGGAAGGGCTCGGGATGATTGCATTGCACACACCATGATGTTTAGCCTGAGATGTTTACTCTGATATATTGACATATGTTTTGATATGGATACTTTGATTATGATGTTTGAGATACTACGACTTATGTTTTTGACGGATGTTTTGATAACTATGGTTTTATTTAATAATTAAAAATAAAATTTTTGGACCGTATTTTTAAGTGTTACAACTTTGTTGACGACAAGTCGTCAGTATAAGGTTAAGGTATACGACATCATTTTATTGTTTATGTAAATAAAAATAAAAAAATTTGTACCGATGACTTGTCGTCATGATAGATTTCACACAGATCGCCAACATGTTTTAACGACGACTTGTCGTTGGCATAACAATTAAGATATACGACGTCATTTTATTGTTTCTGTAAATTAAAAAATAATAATAATAATAAAATATCTATACCGACGACTTGTCGTCGGGATAGATTTCACACGGATCACCAGCATAGTTTACCGACGACTTGTCATCGACATAACTTTCCAAAAAACGCCATTGCTTTTTTTCGCAACATAAAATATAAATACATAAAAATTATATTTCTCGTAACCTATACCGACGGCCTGTCGTAAGAATAAGTTTTAAGAAAACTACGTAACTTATTTCATTTTTTGTCTAAGCTATGGCGACCACATGTCTGTCCATATAGATATCAAGGTCAAACAAATGTAGTCAACTCTATACTGACGACTTGTTGTCAGGATAAGTTAATAGCGATGACTTATGTTGTCGGCACACGATGCATTTCTTGCACTGAACTGCCAACTAATATAACTTATCTACCTGGATTCCACCTCAGTATTGTTAATAGAAATAAGTGTAACAGGGTAATTTCAACTGCAAGTCTTTCTTTTGTTAAATTTTGTTGTTTCTATTAATATTTTTTTTTTCAAAAATAAAAAATAAGAATTTAACAAAAATAAAAATAAAAAGACTTGCGGTTCTATTCGATTATGAAAAATTACCATCTTACACTTATTTTTATTAACAATAGGAAAATTACCCGGTTACATTTATTTTTATTAACAATAGGAGTCCCGGTGGATAAGTTACAAAGCAGTACATTGACTTTGTTAAAATTTTAGATCTTAAATTTCTAGTTGTGTTAAATTTATGGTTCAAGAAAAGCTGGTTTTGGTAATGGTCGTCTAAAATTTCATTAAGCTGGTTTTGCATCATAATATCATTAATTTTGATAAATTTTGAAAGGTTAAAATAATATCATTATTGATATACATGTATAAACCACCCAAAAGACACGACTCATGGAAAAAGCAACCGAGTAGACTTTGGTCCAGACGAACGTTAGTGAAATTCTTGGGGAATGTACACGACTCTTGGAGATCATCCTATTATCTCAGGATATGACAAATGCTATCCAAGATTATTACGGCTCAAGAGTTGGACAGTTGGTCTGTTTGATACCTGTGTCATGAACTTCAATTGCAAATTAAGACTCGTTCGAAATATAAATGAATCAAGTTTCATGGTTTTTTAAACGTATTCAAGACTAAGATACCACCTTATTATTTTGAATCCTACCCTTGTCGCTTCATGTCTTCTTCAAATATGTCTAAAAGAGTTAAAGGAGCAGCAATCGGAATTGATCTTGGAACTACCTATTCGTGTGCTGGTGTCTGGCTTCCCAACAAAAATCGGGTGGAGATCATACCAAATGAACAAGGAAACAAGATCACTCCATCTATCGTAGCATTCAATGACACAGAAGTCTTGGTAGGCGAGGGTGCAAAAAATCGCTAGGAACCCTACTAACACCGTATATGGCAAGTGTTTTTAATCATAATTTCTCATTTCATGTTTTCGTTTTAATTTTAATAATCAAAGAAGTGGCGAAAACAGTTTTGTTTCTTTCTCTATTTGAATTCACTTAAAAATATAACTTGATTCATCACGCTAATTGGAATTCTCTAAATTTTCAGATGTTAAGCGTTTGATTGGGAGCAGGTTTGGTGACCCTCAAGTGCAGAAGGATATGGAGTCGTGGCCTTTCAAGGTCATTGGAGGACCTTTGGAGAAGCCAACTATCGTAGTCGAGTTCAGGGGCGATGAAAAGAGATATGCACCTGAAGAATTATCTGCCATGGTTCTCAAGAAGATGACAGAGGCTTGTGAAGAATTTCTTGGGACCAAAGTCACTGATGCTGTGATCACTGTTCCTGCTTATTTTAACAGCATGCAACGAGAGGCAACAAAGGAAGCAGCAGTTATAGCCGGCCTTAATGTGATGCGTTTGATAAATGAGCCTACAGCTGCTGCAATTGCATATGGTGTCGACAATATGACAGAGAAGGATAAGAACATATTGGTCTTTGATTTGGGAGGCGGAACCTTTGATATATCTCTTTTGACAGTTAGTAACACAGGTGTTATTGATGTCAAAGCTGTTGGAGGCGACACTCATTTAGGTGGCGAGGATTTTGATATTACACTCGTCAATCACTGCATTAAGGAGTTCAAGAAAAAACACAATGAGGACTTGAGCAGAAATCCTAGAGCCTTGGCCAAGTTGAAAGTTGCTTGTGAGAAAGCAAAGAGGGACTTATCCTCAACCACTGTAACATCAATTGATATTGAATGTTTATATAATGGCATTGAATTTTCGACCAAAATCAGCAGAGCCAAATTTGAGGAATTAAATTCAAGTTTCTTTGATAAGTGCATTAAACTAGTAGGTGGATGTTTGAGTGATGGGAAAATGCGGAAGGAGGAAGTGGATGATGTGGTGGTTGTTGGTGGATCTAGTAAACATTACATCAGTATGTTTTGCGGTTTATCAGGGTGAGGGCATCAAAGTTACCGACAACATATTACTTTGGCAGTTCTCCCTTCACGATCTGACTCTAGGTTTAGATAGGCGCTCACAATTAGAGGTTTGCTTCAGTATAGACGCCAATGGGATCCTTCAAGTGTCTGCAGAAGAAACATCCACTGGTCAGGGAAAAACTATTACAATCACTAAGACCTGAACTCACTTGGTTTCCTTAATTCAATCATAATCAAGACCACGAGGATTACAAATATTTTATTTCCAATTTAGCTTTCTAGTTTACTTTACATTTAAGAAGTAAACTACAAATTTCGTAGCAAGCTATTTATCAAGTTACTAATTCCTCAATTTGCTTTTTTTGCTCAACATACTTTTTCTGTCTCCATAGCATTCATACATGTTAGTTTAATCCAAATAGAGTAGTGCCGGATTCAATGGGTGCATTATGCATAAAAGATTAAACAAAAATAAAAACATTAAACCGCCTAAAAGGATACGGCTATGTACTTTGAAAGTTGAAAAACCGACCAACTAGACTTTGTTCCAACTAACGCTAGTTAAGCTCTTGGGGAATATGCACGACACTTTGGAGATTTGTCTGGCTAATTTACTTCTGAAAACTGGATACGACACACGTTTGTTTAGATGATTAAAGTTGCTCAATCTAATCCCTAAAAAATCTCAAAACAAGTTTTAATATCAATCTCATTAGGAAACTATCACCGCTATAATAATAAAAATTAACCCCATAGCCAATCTAATTTACAATTTATAAACTAAGTTCTTAGAAAAATTGAAAACCCTATAAAAAGTGTCGGCATAACGCTGCGCCGCCTTTTGCCGGCTGCAACTCGAAATCTAACCTGAAATCATCTTGACTTGCTCTCCGCCGGATCACCGCCTTCTTGACTTTCTTTCAGTCGGCCTGCTCGGTGCTCTCTCTCTTATCTCCTCTCCGGTGGACCAGACTCCTTGTTACCTGTTTAGTACTCTCCTCTCTCTCAAAGTCTCATATTTTAGTCACTAGTAGTACTACTCATGTCATGTATTATTATCTATAAGGCTCTAGGATGAACTGCCAACGCAAAAGGTGTGGTGCTGATGTGGCTTGCAGCCATGTAGAAACACCACCATCGCCTCCTTGACGCGGCGGCGTGAAATCTGATCAATGGTGTTGAGATTTGCCGTGCCTATACCTTATAGCCTAAGAAAAATAAGACGTGATGAGTGTAACAACTGCAAAACCGAGAATACAATCAAAACAACTGAACAAAGGGCCTTCTATTACAGATTAAAACATGTTTCACTTCTTATTTTGATTGTCGACAAACCATGCCAAACGAAAGAAACAACTGCACATTATTTTCTTATTGGTTTAATAATTTGCCCATACATAATAAATTTAGATACTATATGGAAATAAAGCTCAAATTTAACAAAATTAAATATATTAAATACATTAAAATATTGAAAAAAAAAAAAGTTAGCGTAGAGGCTTATATATGGCGATTCGAATAAAACCGATTCAATTAAGGATAGCGTATACTACTATTGATATAAAAGTCTACTCTGTGTTCGCTCCCTAGCTGAAATATTAGTTTTTTTTAAAAGTTAGTTTATAATATATTTCAAATAACTTATCAAAAATCTAGCTTATAAGGCTTTGCGGAGTGGCCGCGGTTTGGGACCGTAGTTTGTGCCACCTCAGCCGCGCACACCGCCCCTGACTGCGGTCTCCTGCGGTTTAGGCCGCGGTGTGGCGAGTAAAGGCCGCGTCTCGTGATTTGGTGTTGATTCCTTTGACCGTTGAACGGTCCTTTGCGCATTAATTTTTTTTTCTTTCCTTTTTCCTTTCTTTCCTATATATACACATACATTTCATTTGTTTTTCAAACAAAACAAACCCTTCTCTCTCTAATTTATTAAAAAAAATCACCAATATCTCTCAAAAATGTCATCTTATTCATCTTCTGAAGAATTTTAAGTTATTTTTGATGCCGCTGTTGCGTTTGCTCAAATGACGGAACAAACATACGATGCTTTATGCAATAACGCAGCTGAAAGTTCTCAACGGAGAACACGAAGATATATTTTTAGAAATCGTAAAGAAGTCAACCAACGTTTGGTACAGGACTATTTTCAAGAGAATGCCACTTATCAATGGTATTATTTCCGTAGGCGCTTCAGAATGTTCAAGGGTTTATACGAACGTATAGTTGAAGATGTAACGAGGGAGTGCAGTTTTTTTCAACAAGACTACGATGCTAGAGTTACACCCGGTTTCACTCCCTTACAAAAATGCACGGCCGCACTTCGTCAGTTAGCATATGGCATTCTGCATGATGCGTTAGACGAAAGTTTTAGGATGTCTGCTAGGACCGCACGAGACAGTCTCCACTATTTCTGCAAAACTGTGATTCAGTTTTATGGTCCAAAATATTTACGTAAGCCTACACGTAATGACATCTTGCAATTGCAAGCTCATCATGCTAGTGTGCATGGGTTTCCTGGAATGCTAAGAAGCTTAGATTGTCTCTATTTGGGCATGGGAAAATTGCCCTACGTCATATCATGGGCAATTTACTCGAGGTGATCATGGTCACCCAACGGTCATACTTGAAGCAGTTGCATCACAAGATCTGTGGATTTGACATGCTTTTTTTGGTTCTCCTGGTTCGATTAACGACATCAACGTTCTTAATCGTTCACCTATATTTAACAACATATACGATGGATCTACACCAGATTCTTCTTTTGAAGTGCGTGGAACGCCATATAAGTATGGTTATTATCTGGTCGATCAAATCTATCCTGAGTATGTTGTGTTTGTTAAATCGTTTACGTGTCCACATGGTTCTAGACGGAAAAAATTCAAGAGAGCTCAAGAAAGAGCTAGGAAGGATGTTGAGCGTGCTTTTGGAGCTCTGAAGAAACCGTGATTCATATTGAAAAAACCAGCAATTAATTTAGGCGAGCAAAAACTTCAAGAAATCATGTATACATGTCTCATATTGCATAACATGATTATTGAAGACGAAGGAAGAGCGATATGTGCGTTTGACGAGGAAGAAACCATACCAGAGACACAACCAATAGAAATTGGTGGCGAAGAGTATATAAACAGGAGAGCAGAGATACGTTGCACTGAAACATTTCACAATCTTCGCAATGACTTGGTGGAACACATTTACGAGGTTCAAAACATTAACCTTAATTTGGATCCACTGGATGACTCCGAAGACGAGTTCACGGAGAACGACTTTAAGTAGTTTGCTTTAGTTATTTTATTTGTGTTTTTTTAAGTTTCTAGGACTATTTTAATGTCATGTGTGTATTTTTCGGGTTTTTTTTTTTTTTTTTTTTGTAATGCAATGTAATGTTTTCTGAATTTTCAATGTAATGTTTTTTTTTTCAAGTAATGAAAAATTATGTTTTTTTATTAAAAAAGAAGTTTTAAGTAAAATAGCTAAAAAAACAAAAAATAAAAAATAAAATAAAAGTGTGGCACCACCCCCTTGGTGTGGCAAGAAACCACATGTGGTAAAAAATGACGTGACGCTTATGTGGCGGTGAATGGAGTGCGGTTTCGGTGGCACCACTCCCTCCAGCCTAAGTTAATATAAACTAATTTTGTGGTTTCCCCAAATTTAGCTTATGTGTGCTAAACAAAACTTTAATTTAGGTCCCCCTCATTTTAATGTGTAGTCCGTCCCCCAAGATACTTGTGTCATAAACTTTAATTGCAAAGTCAGGCTGCAAGGTTAAGTGGATATGATATGGAGAAGAAACATGACGTTGTCTTGCTGGATGTCACTCCTCTCTCCCTAGGAATAAGTGTTTGTATTAATGGTGTGGATGGAAACATGTGTGTTGTTATTCCCAGGAAAACATGCATACCCACAAGCATGAAAAAAACAGTTTTTTCAAGGTTCAATAAAACAAATGTTTGTATTTTGGTGTATCAGGGTGAGGGCATCAAAGTTAAGGACAACATATTACTTAGGGAGTTCTCCCTTTACGGCCTCACTCTAGGTTCAAATGGGTATTCACAGTTAGAGGTTTGCTTCAGCATAGATGTCAATGGTATCCTTCTAGTGTCCGCAGAGGAAACGTCTACTGGTCAGCAAAAAACTATTACAATCACTAAGACCTGATCTCACCTCTCACCTTGCATACCCAACATGCATATCCCCTTAGTAAAAATGAAGCCTGTTGAAATGTTAATGTAATCACAATCAAAACCACTATTTTATTTCCATATCAACATTATATTTCGTAGCAGGCTGTACATTTATCAAGTTTATAATTTCCTTAATTTGCCTTTTTGCTCAACATTAACTTTATCTGACTCCATGTCTTTCATATAATGTTGTCAGTGTAATCCAATTCAGTGTAATCCTCACTATTGCCCAGTGTGATGCATAGGTGCATGAGACGAATGTTAAGCATTGTGAGTTATTAGGCTAAACAGAGTGGTCTTGCTAAAACAACTCGCCAAGTTCGCTATGGGTTGATGAACTGCGTCCCCTAGCACTCGCTAGGGGGTTCGCTATATTAATGTCGTTAAGAATTTGGCGAGCGGGAAGACAAACTTTTGTGCAAGGTGATTGGTCCATGGGTGTTTGACTGGAATGCAAAAATGTTGACTGAATTGAATTGGAGGTTACAAACCATGCAACTTTTGTTTGTAGTTTCTAGTAATTAATAAATGGTATTTTTAATGAATGCCAAGCCAATTTCATGCATACAGGTAATTGCATCAGGCTTACTACCAAACTTTTTTTAATTTCCTAAACAATTAATATATTTAATACTAATAAAAAATGTGAAAACCATTGCTAATTCAATTGAAATTAATTGTTAGAATTTAATTTCTACAACTTATTTACCAATTTATATTAAAAATAAAGTAATTTAATTAAATTAGAAAAATTAAAAGAAAAAAAAAGAGTGCGCTAGGAGTGTTATAACTCCCTACTAAATGCTAAGGTTAGATGTTAAATGGCCAAAAAATAAGATGACACTAAAAAATATGACGTGGCAAGGTGTTAGGAGTGTTACCACTCCCTTAGCCTTAGACACATCAACCAAACACCTTTCCATATGATACTTACTAAGGCTAAGGGGAGTGGTAACACTCCTAGCATCTTTCTAAATCAGCTTTTTGAATGTCATGTCAACTTTTTCTCTTAACATTTAATTTTTAGCATTTGATAGGGAGTGGTGGTGTGTTATTTTAATAGGTTTAGTTTGAAAAAAAAAACTTAATAGAAAAAAGATAAAAGGGAAACAACCAATCATAACTCAGCTAATCATTTTCTCTTTCCTCTCTCTTCACACTACATCTTTGGCGAGACACATTTGGCGAATTGGCTAGCAAATGGGAAGGAATGGGGTAACACTTTACTAGCGAGGGAGGTGGCGAGGCTTAACACCTCCCACTCCCTGGTTAGGAAATGGTTTTCCATTGTGAGTTGCTAACGAGAGGGGGAGAAGAAGAGTAAGAAGAAGAGAGATAGAAAGAAGGTTTTTTCTCTCATTTGTAAAGAAAAGTAACAGCACTAACGAAGGTCACAAGGCAGGGTGGTGTAGCCTTACTAATAAAAGCATATTTGACTTCTTATTTTGATTGCCGTCAAACCGTGCCAAGCAAAATAAACAATTGCACATTATTTTCTTTTTTCTTATTTGTTCAATAGTTTGCTCATACCTATTAAATTTAGAAAATATATAGCAATAAAGGTCAAATTAATAAAATTAAGGATATTAAATACATTAAAATATTAAAAAAATTAGTGGAGAGGCTTATATATGGTGATTCGAATAAAACGGATTCAATTAATGATAGTGTATGGTACTATTCAAATTAAAGTTTAGGATGTGTTTGGCTGGAAAGCTAAAAAAAATTAGTTTTTTTGCTTAAAAGTTAGTTTATCAATGAATTATTTCAAATAACTTATCAAAAATCTGTCATAAAAGATTGACAAAATTGCAAAAATGGTCCCTGTGGTATGCATTTTTTGGGGTTTTAGTTCAAAACCCGACATTTTTGGTTTCGTGGTCCTTTGGACCATGTTTGCATGTAATTTTGGTCTCTCGGACAACTGAAATGACTAAAATGCCATTTCTGATATATTTTTTTTATGTTTTTTCATTTTAATTTAAAGAAAAAAGAAAATAGTTAATAAAATTGGGCCCACCTCTCTCTCTCTCTCTCTCTCTCTCTCTCTCTCTCTCTCTCTCTCTCTCTCTCTCTCTCTCTCTCTCTCTCTCTCTCTCTCTCTCTCTCTCTCTCTCTCTCTCTCTCTCTCTCAAACAAACACGACCATTCAAGAAAAAATCAAACTACAAACAAGATATGAGAAAAATCAATCGGATCGCTGGGGCAATGGAAGCTCTAATATTCGATTGCGATGGTGTTATTCTCGAATCCGAAGATCTACACTTCCAGGCTTACAATCTGGCTTCTGCTCACTTCAATGTCTGTTTCCCTCTCTTCTCTGAACCTCTCAATTGGGATATTGAATTCTATGACGTCCTTCCAGGGCCGGCCCATAGGGAGTTCACAAAGTGTCCATGAACAGGGCCCAAAACAAACCTAGGGCCCACTTTTTTTTAGCATTTATAGCCTATGTTCGGTTAATGGCCCAAACGATTAGGTTAATCTTTTCATCAGATCATATATCGGGCGACGCAAGAAGGAGCGGGAAAATCAAAAATTTCGGGAAAAGAAACAAACACAACGCTTTGGTTTCTTCTTCACTAATAACGATTACAAGCATGAGGGATGAATTAAAACTCTCTAATCCTTGACAGGAAACAGTAACGTTATTATTGTTTGCTTTTTTCTAAAGCATCAGTCAGTTTCAATTTCAGATGCAATCAACAATCTTACTTCTTTTTTTTTTCTTCTCAAAATTCTGAAGCAACGATTTTAGTTTCCAAACAGAGGTAATTTGCAATATCAGTCAATTTGAGTTCTTACAAAGTTTACAATCGTTCTTCACATCCTATTTCTTCTCAAAAATCAGATTTTTAGAAGCTTCAAATTTCTTACCTGCTTGAGGTTTCGAAATCAGAATGTAAGATTAAGGTATTTCTGTTTTTTATAGGTCTTTACCTCTTTTCTTCTTCTTCTTAGTTTCTTATTTCTAATTTCTAATATTTTTGGAAGGTAGGCTACACTCTAATCAGTAATCTGTTTCCAAAATCGGAGGAACAAGGATATCTACTTTGAAAATTAGAACTCAGAAGGAACAAGAAATTGAGGTAATCAATTTCTGAATTTTAAAAGTACAAGCAAATCAATTTATGTTTTTTCGTTTTGGTAAGTTTTTGATTTGTAAGAATTAATTCAGTTTTTTTTTCATTCTTTATGACTCAGTGAAAATCAATCCGACTTTGAGGTTTAGAAGTTTGTGATTTCAGATTTTTTTGGAAGTTTAGAAAATCAAAAGGTATTTTTCTATTTTTGGATTTCTTTATAAGCAGAGCATTGTTCTTTTTTCTTGATAATGAAATGTATAATGCTAAATTCACTTTTGATTTTTCTTACGGTTTTGATAACCTTTCTTGTTGAAAGGTCTGAAAATCAGAAGGTAAAGGTAATTTTATGATTTCGGGACTTTTTTTTTATTAAAAGCAGATCATTATTCTTTTTTCTTGATAATGAAATATATCTTGCTGCTATGATTTTTGATTTTTTTTATACAGTTTGATGCCCTTTACTGCTCAAGTTTCAAAATATATAACCAAGATGAAATCTACAACTCCTAACAAAGATATTGTTGAAAAGTTTATTTCAACGAATAGTAGGAGGATTGTTGTTTTCAAGTTGAAGCAAATTTATTTTTTTGTGTATTATTTTGAATGAAATTTTACTTCTATATATTTTGAAATAAAAATGAAATTTTTTATTTTTTTGCATAATTTTTTTGATCTCTTAAGTTTTAGGGCCTATTTTTTTGATAAATTGCACAGGGCCTCTGAAATGTCGCGGCCGACCCTGCGTCCTTCAAAACCAAATCGACGTGGTAAACAGAAAATGCATTGGTTATCTCCCTCACTATCCTCTTTGTTTTTGTGTTTGTTATGCTAATTGAGAAGTTGTGACTGTAATCAGACTAACATGATCTCCATTAACTATCACCTTCGCAACACTCTTTGACACGCCTTGCGAAAGTGACATCGTCAGGGCAAAATTAATTGACAATCATCAGGTGTAATCTTTCAACAATTGTAAATGAAATGTAAATTTCTAAACTATTGAAACTCAACTACTTATTTTGGTGTTTGTAGGATTGGAAGACTGAAACCTACGAGGATGTAGAAATTGGGGGTCGGTAAGAGCAACACGAAGAAGGTGGGTTTCGTTTCTGGGACTCAAGAGCAAACCCAAATATCTGGGGACGAACTCAAGAACAAACCGATATTTCATGTGTGGTTTTCATTTCCGGAACGATTTTGGGGAGTATTCTTCGTGTGTATGTGTTTGTATGTGTTTATAAGAGTGTGTGTCTATATGTTCTTGAATGTGTATGTGTTTGTGTGTATATGATTTGATCAATCATTCAATACTTTTTTTTCACAATTCTTGCTCATCTTTTTTATGTTTTGGAAATGTTAGGATCAACCTGCGACCAAGGTTTATGCAGCTCCACGTGCTAGATCTAAATCCCAGACATTTTCTTCTTCAAAAAAAAAAGAGAATATTTTAATACCCTTTTGTATTTATCAAGTGGGTTTTACATGTTCTAGCTAAATCCCACACGTCGTTCTCAAAATATGGATATGGTGATTTCCTGTCTAGCTTCATCAAATGACTTTTTGGAGAGAGAGAGAGAGAGAGAGAGAGAGAGAGAGAGAGAGAGAGAGAGAGAGAGAGAGAGAGAGAGAGAGAGAGAGAGAGAGAGAGAGAGAAGGTGGCCCCTTCTTATTTTATTAATTATTAAAATAAATAAATTAGTATTAAATTTAAAAAGAAATGAAAGAAAAATGTAAAATAAATACCCCAAGGGTATTAGAGTCATTTCACTATTCATAGGGACCAAAAACGCAACAAAACTAGCTCAAAATGACCACGAAACCAAAAAAATCGGGTTTTAGACTAAAACCCTAAAAAAATTCATACCACATGACCATTTTTGCAATTTTG